TGATGGCTCCTTCAACCATATCCTGAACTGAAATGAGTTGGGGGAATCTGAAGAATCTTAATTTTGAGAGGATGCTTAATACCCAAAGGTAAGATAAAAGGATAACCTTTTATTCTGAGGAGAACAAATAAAATATTGGCTAAGGCACTGATTGTTAAAATACAGAGTGGACTAAACACACTCCAGTTTTACTGTTGTGGCAAAAACGGAAGGAACTCGTTCGTTCTCATAAAAATAAGGGTGTTAGTGCAGGGTGAAGTGTGAGACTTCTCCAGTCATTTGGGATGGGACAAAAGAATATTTTACCATTCTGATAGAAGTAAGTCTTCATCCTGGTTCATCCAAGCCGGGAATAAATAAGCAAACATGGCTACTGCTTTGGGAAGAAGATTACAGTTTATTGCAGAAGAAAGATGGTCCTTGCAAGAAGGAGCAGAGGAGAAGAAAGAGACTGAGCACATGGGTAGAAGGTTTTTTATACCCCCTCTAGCCCTGTTTGGAATAGTTTCCTGTTCCTGTGGCATGAACTTTGAGGCTATTTCTGAGTGTTTTTCTAGGCCTTGATATCTGTGGTTTAATCCTATTATCANACATCCTAGTCATTCCCACCATAAGTTTCAGATAGCTCAAATTAGGGAAGGCACAGATCTTAAACATACCACGTGGTTGCATAGAGAAGAGAGAGAGAGATAGAGAGAGAGAAAATCACTATTTCTTATTTTCCCTTTTAAGTACCTTTATTTAGCCAAATTGGTTTCCCAGCAAAGCCCTAAGCAAAGTCTATTTTTTTTAACATATAGTTTCTTTACCTATCTCTTTTTTCATACCTGCCTGAACGGGTAGCTGATTCCCATACCAGGCCTCAAGCAAGCTCTCAACTGGGGAACCTATCTCAGCCCTTGTATTGGGCACTATACACCGGAAGCCTCCTTGTGAGACTTCCTCCATCCGCCACGGTTTTGTGGGTCCAAAAAGGGGACTCACAGAGCACTCTGGATCCCTCTCAGAGTACGTGGGCTCCTTGAGGGATCTGCCACGTTTTCAGACCAAAAAGGGGTCTGTAGAGACACTTCTGGTTTCCCCTCAGAAGGTACGGGTTACTCTCCCCCCGGCTGGCTTCACCGCTACTGTTTTGCGGACCCCTAACATCTGCTGCGGACCTCTGCTTGCTCTCAGAGGTAAGTGGACCGCTCCTAGCCCGGGGCTTCCTAGCCCGGGGCTTAATTTCCTAACTTTGCTTACAGGGCCTTGTCAGCTAGTTGCCCAAATCCAATTCTTTCATTCATTCACCCATTCCATTTCATTTTCACACAGCCTCTCCCTTTTCCCTACAAAAGGTTCTGTGCTCTGACCCAACCCCCATGCTTTCCAGGTTCTGCCAATTAAACAGATCCTTTCTGCGGCTAGGAAAGACCAGAAGGAGCAAAATCCAACTGTGATTGGGAAAAAAGGGTCTTCTCACTCACACACATAGACATACACACATTTTCTTTGTTCCCCTGGGCTTTAAACTTAAAATTTAGAGGTACTCACCTTCACCTTCTTTCCAAAGCAGCCCTTGAACTCAAACTCTCAAAACTCTCTTTACTACCTGGCTCCACATGGGCAAGGCCTGGGGAGCCCATCCACAGACACAAGGGGGTCTGCTGCCGGCAAGATGGGGCTTACCAGTCTCAGTCCATTGGAGAGGTTAGCTTGGAGTCCCATCCTGGGGTGCCAAATTGATAGAAGTAAGTCTTCATCCTGGTTCATCCAAGCCGGGAATAAATAAGCAAACATGGCGACTGCTTTGGGAAGAAGGTTACAGTTTATTGCAGAAGAAAGATGGTCCTTGCAAGAAGGAGCAGAGGAGAAGAAAGAGACTGAGCACATGGGTAGAAGGTTTTTTATACCCCCTCTAGCCCTGTTTGGAATAGTTTCC